TTGTATACATTGCGAGTTTGGTAGCGACACGTAAAGTTCGCTTCACTGTATTTCACTGTACGATGAGGATGATGATCAAGCAATCGAAGGTGGTGTACAGCGATTACTTCTTTTAGAGAACTACCCTACTAACCCAACATACGAGGACGAATTTCGCCATTGCTCACACTACGTTATCACCAGACACGAGCAATGCTTCGGAGACATCGGTGGTCGAATACAGAAAGTCGATTATCATCCTCAGCTCGGAGAGGCCAGGTCTTGCAACCGTAAAGTAGAGCACCACGAACCGCGGCAATGTACACTCTTCCCTTATGGGAAAGTCGGATATAATGGCGGCGCAACAGATATCGCAGGTTGGCTCTAGCTTTTGCTAGTCGTGAATGGATCTATTCCCCAACCCCAATACCAGCTGCGATCAAGCTTCCGAGGTACTTAAATCTCTCGACTACTTGGATCTGACCACCACAAAGTGCAAGTGCAGGCACAACCACCTCAGTCTTGTACGAGCAATTTGAACTAAGGTGATGCAAAGCACAAAACAAACCCTAGCGCTGTGGTTTGAAGTACGTGTGACTGTCTGTGTACTCACGAACTGTGTAATCAAAAACTCTGTTTTCTGAGTGAAGTTCAACTCCGGTTGCTAGATCAGACGAAGCGTCCTGTAGAACATCTCCTACGGCAAAGTTGAAGAGGAATGGGAATACAGAGCAGCCTTGTCGCTCTTCATTGAAGACGGTGGTGAAGGCTGGCAACTAGCCCTTACCCGGCCTCGGGAGCGCAGAGCAGTATCCTACCGAGCGCGCCCCCAGATTGCGGATGGGGGAACGACCGTCATCTTGCGCCTAACCGTTAATAAGGTGGGCTTCGGCCCTCCGAATAAGCGGTCGCGGACGATCAGCGGCAGCGCTCGAGGATGTGGTGGGTTAAGCTCTCGAAAAGGGTTCTCCTTACAAAGCACCACAACTATCCGTGGACAGCGCTATGACGTAGCCTGTCACCAAATATGGCCATTGCCCCTTGTCCAGAAGACACGAATGAACCAAATACTGGTCACCGGATCATCTGGCACATCAATGATGCCTTGCAGTCCGCACTTAGTTGCGCAAAGCCTTGAAAGCACCCGTGAACAAGGCTTACTCTGAACCGGGCGACCGAGCACTAGCCCACAACGCACACAATCAAGGATTTTCTTCTTCTTATGGCTCTAGACTCCAAAGCTCCCCTATTAAACAGAAAACATTCTAAATCGTACACACCTTAATGTTTTCCCAGCCTTCTCCCGTCTCACCTTTACCCCCGTAACATATCTCCATCTCTCTTTCTCGGATTCTTCAGACGATCGTACTAACAATAGTGCCTTGAGTGAAAATTCTGCCGCTGTTCTCTCTTGTCCTGCCTCCATCAACGTCCAAATGTCACCGAATCCTCCACCACGTGAAGACTTTCTTCGTCTTTGATGTCCTTTCAAACTACTCACGTTTAATTTGCGTACTCAGATTAGTATAGGACCAGAGGCGTGTATAACTAGTACGCTCGAGACCCTAGCCATCGTTGTGCGTTGCATCCAAGAAATTCGCATTCAAGACCCCAGCCCTATTATCGGATTGACGTCCCGATCAAACCAATCTGCTAAGTTTCACTTACACCTCTCTGGGGATAACGAGACTGCGGCTTCCGGTCTTCGTAGTGTCGGCGTGGCTCTCAGTGACAGAACTGACGCCGCCGTCCTAGATTGGATCTCAGTCGACAGTAGGTAGTGCACAGTGAGACTCAGAATTCCGCACAAAGTAAGCAGCCGTCTCCACGATACGAAAGTTGTTTGTCGTATCGACCTACGCTCAAAAGGACTGCAGCCCAGATACACTCAAAGATGAATTTTACCATAATCTACACGACCTCTTGCTCAAAGCGAACCCGGCTAATATTGTAGTTTTAGCAGTAGATATGAATGCTAGAGTTCAGTTTAGTTCTTACAACTATTAACCATGCACTTTCGTGCGCCGGTTTTGGTTGCCCATTTGGATAAAACAGTAGAATGAACATTGGAATGTTGAGAGCAAATTCAAGCGGAAGATAGAAAAATCATACAGACTGATGTCGCAAGAATAATGAATAGATTCATGAGCGCCACCGTTTGTGACACCCAGCCATGGGCAAAGTTGGAAGAAGTGCTGTGACGGTCAGACCACGACATGGCGTAGGGATATGAATAGGTAAGCCTCAACATTGGCTTCGGTTGGTGCAGCTCGCCTTACACGCTGGGGCCCAAGGGATGAGGATTGCCGATGGTTAGAGATGCTGAGAGATATGGCTCAGAATAGATGTCAGTGGCGTGATTGCTGTGTGGTTTGTTTGTCGAAACCTAGCTCCCAGTAACAGAAAAACATCAAAAGAGTGTACGGTGAAACTATCAAAAAAAATCACTCATTTATTTACCTGTTCTCATTTTTTTCTGTTGTCCCCATGTGCATTTCATACATCTGTAACCCTTCATACCATCATTATCATTGTTTTGCGCTGCCATCATGTTTATTCGCAAGCCAGTTTGAAATTATATATAGTAATGAACTGTTATCTTCAGTGACGACTGCACAGCGCGGTCTATTGAGATAAGATACCCTTATAATAACTTGAATTCGCAAACTGCTTTAGCCAACATCATAGAAGTGAAGAAAGCGTTGGTTAGGCTTGTACATGAAGGCAAGTATAACTGCGTGTCGCCTTGATGAACAATGTTGAGGTAGCACTTCATGGTTGCTACATGATGAGAAGCATACCAAAGATTAGATCGTTCTTTAATAACATACAAGACTAAAAAATACATCGGTTTCGGTTCGGTTATTACAACCATTAACCATGCACTTTCGTGCGCCGGTTTTGGTTGCCCATTTGGATAAAAGAGCGAAATGAAGGTTGGAATGTCGAAGCAAATTCAAGCGGAAGATGGGGAATACATATGGAATGCGACACCCAGCCATATCAC